GCGCACAGAATTCGGGGCTAGAACAGCATTAGGACAAATCAGCACTCACTGCGATTTGTCCTAATGCTGTTCTAGCCCCGAATTCTGTGCGCATTCATGGGGTTACTGGACATCAGTTGCAATTACTTGGCGAAACGATGTTGTGCGTTCAATCTGAATCCGGTGTGTCAATCCCGATCCGATTCCTGGTATCAGCCCACAGTCTATGGGTCTATTATGGGCCTTCGTGCAATGCGGCTACTACAAGGATCCATCACACTACATACCAACAACGATGTGCCAATCACCTCACATCTTCAATATTTGATTGTGCAGTGTTCCGGTAACGTTAATGGCATGAAAGTACGGTCGGTAAAGTTGGAAGTGCGCGGTGAACCTATTTTCCTCAAAGGACGCGTCCTCCCATACGGTCAACGGGAAGGTGTCTTGAAAGCATTACAGGAAATGGAGCAGGATGGTGTGATAAGCAAAGTTGAATCCAGTGCCTGGGCTACCCTGATCGTCGTGGCGATGAAAAGTAATGGTAGGACACCACGGATCTGTGGAGACTATCGACCAAGGTTGAATCCCAGATTACGGAGATGTGCAGCGATCACCATGGATGCCAGTTTTTTTCGAAGATCGATTTGGCGGACGCATACCTACAGATTCCACTCAATGTCGAATCTCGCTACTTGAGAACAATCAACATGCCGTGGGGAATGTATAAGTACAGTGTTCTCCCATTCGGATTGCATGTGTCGTCTGACCTCTCTCAATCGGCAATAGACAGTGTAATCAAAGGACTCGACGGTGTGCTTGCATATCGAGATGACGTCCTCATTCTCGGCCTTAATAAGAAAGAACACGATGCCCGTCTGATGCAGCTACTGGAAGGACTTGACGCCAGGAACGTGGCTATCAAGGCTTCCAAATGTGTGTTGGGAGTGAGCGAGTTGGAGTTTCTAGGATTCGCAGTTGATTCCCGTGGATATTGTCCCGATCCGACACGTTTCAAACCATTGACTAACATCGAATCTCCAAAGGATCAAACGCATTTGAGATCCGTGTTAGCATGCTTACAGTACTATTCCCGATTTATCCTGATTTTTGCTACAAGGGCACAGCCGCTTTTCCATGCTCAGTGTTCAGACGCTTGTGATTGGTCGGTGGAGTGTGAAAATATCTTACGTGGTTTAATTCGCTGCGTTACTGATCGTTTTCACCTTCAAAATCGACTACACTCATTACCGATGCGTCCGACGTCGGAATCGGTGTTGTATTAGAACAAGAAGGATGCCCAGTGATCTGCATTTCACGTCTACTCAATGCGGCAGAAAAGGGATACTCACAGACTCAAAAAGAAGCGTTGGCTGTATTTTGGG